AAAGCAGCCTTTTGAATGTAAAAGACCACATGCCTAAGGATTCTCTATCTTAGTGTGCGTACAAAATAAATGCCTGGAATGTGATGGGATAATATATATCGCACAAACGTTGCAAGAGAAAAATCAAGGTAATCAGAAAAAGTGAACACCTTAGAGCATCTGTTCGACCAGCGAGAAATTCGGTTGAACTAGAAAAGCTAGGAAAATCATCAGCTGTATGTCGTCTACACACTACGCCATAAAATCAGGTCACAAAATTGACTCTTACAATATTGATATCATCATCCAGAAGAACTTCAGAAATGAAAAAGTATTTCTTATATGAGAAGGACTTCAAATGAAATGGAATTCACACTGTCTGATGAATAGCAGTGATGCACTGAAGACAGAATTTAACCTGATTACAACAACCTTGGTTTCTAGCATGAATTGACATAATCAACACAAATATGATAATTGATTTTCATCATGTAAGCGCATGCTGCTTTTTTATAATTGCATAGTATCATAATGTCGGATACCGAGTCTGTCTGCAGAGGTGTAGGATGAGTTCATTTTCACCTCAATATAATTACGTGAATTTGGAGTCCTCGAGTGTTAGACATGTATTTTGCTGATTATCTCCGTCATTGTTCATCGATGGCATCGGTTTATGAACCTTGTTCGGCGAATCCGCTTACAATATGCATCACTTTGACCAATGATGTGGCATGATTTTACGTAGTGCCAAGCCATACAATGCCAATATGCTAAAAGGAAGAGTCGACTGCTGACTATGCTGTGAGTAAGACGTCGACGGTACTGGATGCAACGCATTTAATTCGACTTCATTATCGACATAAAGACGGATGAGCGTGATACCTTTCGAAGTTTGGCTAGACAATAATATAATTCACCAATGAATTTCAAACTTCATTTGCAGGTGTTGTTCAATTCTGTTCAACAATCGAATTCTTATACCTGAGAAGTTGGTTGACCACAGACCACAAAAGAAGATAAGAAATTTGAATAGGTCTTCCGAGCTGACTTTAACTTGAAACATTCACATCAGCGGTACGCAATACCAATCTGAGTGCGAATGTCGTCGTCCTCTTTGAGTACAAGTTTCATGCAGTGGTAAGGGAAGTTGAACAACGACCTGTGGTCACGAAACTACTGACAGTGTGCTTGGAGGACAGTCTCATCAAACGTTCTACCACAGGTCTTCTGGGGTGGAATCAGGTTGCAGTATTTATCCACCTCTGCTGCACTCAACCTCTGCAGTTAGAAATTCAATGCATTTCATACATCGTTAGTACTCGCGAAGTCCATTCAGTATAGGTCTTCGTATCTGCAGAACCACCTGTGGAATGTAACGTTTGAATTTGGGTGATACACGGATTCAGAGATGCTGCTAACGATAGGGTAATTAGCTGGAGACGAAATTCGTAGACTAGCAAGCAACTGTATCAATTTTAGTTGGTGCTCTATCAGTTTCTTTAAATGTGAAAACTTCATTTGAACGTTTTTCATCCGTCCTCAACTCTGATACACATAAGCAATGCTGAAGGTCTTGCAAAATATTAAACACGAACTTTCAATGAACATACAGGTGTACAGTGGCCATGAAAATGTATCTAGTGAATACTGTCCTTTTACAGCGTGATATTTTACACTCTCTTTACAAGGTTTAAATACACGCTGATTGGATTAATTATCACGATGACTGAGATAATTCATAATGTGGCGTCTATAGTGACTTATCTACGACACTTGAAGTTAATACACTCATTGACTTACGGTGTCTCTAGCTGTCAGTTTCCTCAAGCAGGTTTCAGAGAACAAAGATGCATCTAGTTATGTGATTATGTATTATCTGAAAGGAGTCAGAAATCCTAATATATATGCAGCAGTCAGAAATCTGACTACTAATTTTTAGTTAATTATTTTCTTTATTACAGCTTGATTTCACACAGTATTTTCAAACATGTGTAGAATGTTTAGCATGTGATATCGGTAGCCCAAATTTAGCAGGCCGACCCTTGGTACCAGGTGTGCATCGGCCGCAGATCGAACCCCGGATCACGAACATGGTCCGCGGGCATCCTAACCGTTGTGCCACCAACGCAGGTTAATCATACTGTAAGATTATGTGTGTTGTGCATTCGACGAATAGTGTTTGTCAAATTATAGTCTGTCATGGTAAATAAGTCACCGTCTGTAGAATCACTAATTTGAATTCAATATTGATCATGATCAATAGGTTATATGGTCTGTTAAGTGAACTCTCTCCTTTCGAATGTTAGGAGTGTGATATTGTCTGTGAATAAGGATATGATCAGGATAAATCACAAGGTATCTGAAAGATTAATATTCGTTTAAGTTAAGGTTGATTTTAGAAGTTAAACCAAAATGAATTTGTCTACTTGTTTATAATGTTAACCGGAAAACAAATCACCACCATCATTAACAATATCATGCAAAGAACAACCTGCTAGTGGACACCAATCCTCCAACCAAGAGAGCGGAAATCTTGAATGCAACCAAACTTTTGAAGATCGAAGAGGCAGCAGAGTCAGATGGATTTTTCCTCCTAATAACTGAAAACGGACACGGACACTGTGACGAATATGCTCACGTTATTTTTCCAAAACATTTGAAAGGAAACTAAGGTGCGTGCTGAACAGCAGAAAGGCTACCTTGTCAAGCTACCAAAGGAGGTAGACTTATGCCTCACTCTGCAAGGACTGGAATGGAATGATGATTGTGTCCACGATAAGTAAAATACTTAGTGGCGTCATCCTGGAGACAGAGAGAGAGAGACTAGAATTTACACTACACAGCCCCAATGGAACTAACTAGCTGGATTGAGTTAAGACAAATCACGTGCTGATCGAATTGAGACCTGGCGCGATTGTTCTTTCCAAAACACTGAAATACATTGAGCGCGAAACTAAGTCGTAAAGCTTCTAGAGGACATCCTGAAAACGGTGAGAGTCGTGCGAGTTGCTGCAATTCCCAAATATACCATCTTGTCATCAGAATACAACATAATCCAGGTACTCCACGGTCTGAATTTTGTAAGTGCACATCAAAAAGGACTGTTGTGGTACACGTTCAGACGAAGAAATCCACTTCCATCAACTAAACTTGGTGTGAACAGATTGTAACAACCTACTGACCTGATGAAACTTCAGAAATGTGAAATAGTTTAAGAGTTACCACACACGCTTTGCTGCGTTTTTTCTTCACTCTGGCTATCTTATCCACATATCAGAGCTGCAATAAACGAATATATTCGAATTTAAAACGACTGAAATTGATTTTCCTTAGAAATAGCTGTTTGAAGCGAAGAGAAGCAGAAAGTGACTTGATCGTGTCAGCGAGCCCCAGTAAAACGAATAACAATTAGATAGGGTTCAACAAGGATAGTCGATGTTGTGCAATTAAATTAGCTTACCTATTTTACCCCACTAGATGCATTGGTCCACCTTTCACATTGGATGTTTCCTTTTTAGGAACCCTCTGTCACTACTTTGCCGCTCACTTCCACTGCGACGCACCCTCAAGAAATGAGATGTGATTCTTTCCCTTTACATCAGTTGCAACTATGACTGACCATTGCGGCATATAAAAGTGCCGACGTAATCGTCTGTTCCTTCGATATTGCATCCAACTCACCTCTTCCAGACGAACAGAGAAAACATCATTTTTAATGCTGAAGGGACAGTAGTTGTGTGGACTGAATAACTGTTAACATAACGTAACATTATTTGTATTGTATGTGCGAGAGCAGTGCATGCATACGAAGTTACATTGCTGAAGATATTTTTGTCACCTAGCTTTCTGGTCTTCAGGTCTAGTCATATACGTCATGTAACCATTGGAGTATATTTTTTTCTGTTCTAAGCAAACATGATTTACTCAAAGGATGAATGACACACATTTCTTCATTGGAAATACAATAGCGTCTTTCTGCTCAACTCATTGAACGACTAATTTATTTAATCATATCTCTCCCGTTTTCAATAACGTTAAATGCGGTAATACGTTGGCATTTCACGAAATGACAATACTATGGTGCTAAATGGACAAAATCATGCATCCTTCTCGCAGAATTAGGATAACAGAAGACCACCATTTGATGTGCAGCAGACCAGATGAAAACACTGTCATGTATTATCGTGAGCAGAATTCATAAGTTCAAGAGGAATTATCCTTTAAGGATGTCAAATTTAATTAGATTAGAAAGAAAAGACTTACTAAGGGATGAGTTACCAGGCTAACTGAAGTCCAACGACAAATTCCTATCCGATACACAGCCGAGGTCTCAGCTAATTAATTGCAACAGTGACAGCAAACCTCAGAAGACTTGCGCTATCTTGTCTGTTAATTATTTCGGATGATGGCAGCGCGTCTACTCGATGTCCTGAGTATATGGGACGTTTGTTAACTGAAGTGCTTAAGCTGACTAACTAATTTAGGCAGCAGCTATCCGAAACATAATCGGAGAATCTAACTAATGCCTCTCTTTCTGTTCCCCACAATATAACTAGTTTTACTTATCGACCTTTGACTACACCAACGAGGAGAATGGTCTGTGTAGAAGAACCAGTTTTACTGCAGGATATGTCCTGCACAGGACTGTGCTTAATCGTTTTTTACAGTTCTCATAATATCATCTCCTGTGAAGTCAAGTTCTATAAGAATTGGCCTCTTGCTGACCGAGGTTGCATCGGGTGTCTTACGTTCACTCTTGCCGTATCTATTAATGAAGTTTTCTGGGTTTCCATTCTACATCATTTGGCTTATGAATTTCCGGTGTGAAATACTATGCGCAATTGCTGCATATATTTACACGACAATCCATTTTTTGTTCGTTAGTAGAGTTTATTTTGACTAGTTTAAAAACCAAAATCTTTGTACTGAAGTAATTATGTCTTAATTGTGAGTATTTCTTAACATTATATAGTGAATTCAAAGTACAGCTGTATACAAATATTTCAGACACAATATCAGTGATTTGATGAAACATATTAAGGTGGGTGATTGCATATTATAATGATCACCAATGTGATAAACGATAATATTTTGCTAGCAAATTATACACTTTATTTGATAGATCAATACATTCAAATACTCGAAAGTCGAAGAAGTATATTCAACTTGAGATAACAATAAAGTGTTAAAGATATATAATGGAAATGACTCCACCAATGCTTTTTGTTAGGAATTTTCTATTAAGGGCATCCTGCTGACGAAGTGCACACATACTTTATCACAAATAATATGGGTTTGTGCAATAGTTCAAGAGGCATTGAATTATACTGTGATTCTTTGTTATTCATATGAGCAGAAGTCATCATTGCACATAAAATATATCTCGACTCACAGAGAAGTCATCAGACACACACTGTGACAGAAATAAAGAAAAGAAAAAAAACACCAGTTCTTACCAGTGATATTGGACTTTATTTGGATCAAGCTATGTGTACAGAAATGGAATATACCAGTTAATCAACATCTCTCTTCCTATTGAATTTATTAAGCCAAGGTTTTGCTCAATTATTTCAATGAAAATGTTAGTTAATTTCATAAACAATTTTACAAAACAAACTCTAACCAATATATGGTCTTATGTATAAATAAGTATCGAATAATAGTTAACACGGAATTCCAGATCTTCGGAAAGAAGCTTCTTGTGGATGCTTTCATCGTTCCATAGCAAAGTTGATTGATATGGTCAGATATAACAAAATTATCAAAGCCCAGGTAATCAGAGCCAATTTAACTGGTAAAGCAGTGATTCTTGACTTCTGAGAACAAAGTTTTAAACCTTGTGCCGTTAGAAATAATGCCTGTTACAAGCAGAATAAAAATAAAAATGAAATAAAACCAGATGTCAAATAAAAAAACAATGAGGCAATCGTCTCAGGACTAATGAAGACCATCAGTGAGTTTCAACGCTGGTGCAGAGAACCATACTGACAAACCTCAGTTTTCACCATTCTACACAAAGTGCCTAGCCCATTTATGACAGTCATTACATTATATGTGCAGAAAGAGGAGGTTTATTTAGTTTTTATGTCATCCAATATCCTTTGATTCTGTCATTACAATTATTATAATTGTTACAATCAATCTGTTACTGTTATTATCGCTTTGAATATCATCCACTCAGTTAATTCCCACAGTTAAAATTTTTGCATCGTTTGTCCTTATTTACTGCGTTGTCATTGGATTCGGGGTTTTCAGACATCAGGAGGTGCAAAATAAGTCTGGAAATTATAATGAATTTTGATGAGGCTATTTCCAGCCAAGTAAATATTTACCCCCAACGTACTTTTTGACAAACAGAAGTTTCGAAAACTCCTCCTGCTGAAAAATGATATCTATAAAACTCTATATTTTGTGTTGTCAAACAACCTGAACATTAAGGAAAAGGTTATGTGCTCAATCAACATAGAGTCTTTATTCAACAACGTTCCTCTTCATGAGACTGTTGATTTCATTTGCGATAACATCACAAGCTATGGGAAAAACTAAACTATCCCCGTCACTTACATCAGAGACAATATCTTAATGTTTAGAAAAAAGATATTAGATTCACCCATTGGTACACTCACTGTTGATAATAATGGTAACTCTATTGAAAACTTTATTACCCTATTTAATCGTATTTATCAAAATGTCAGAGTGACTTCCAAACTAAAATGGAATAACAAGCTTGGTTTCCTGAATATCACAATGACCAGGAGAGATGATAGAACGATTCAGTGATCGATTTTTCGTAAACAGACATGGAATGGACATTATCTTCATTTGACTAGTTTTGTTCCTATCCAGTATAAACGTTCCCAAGTGAAATGTTTGTTCTCAAGGGCCCGAAAAATATGCACGAGTGACACATTGATGGATGCGTTTCGACATATACATTCAGTTTTATTAGCTTATGTTTATCCGGAAAACTTTATCACTTATCACAGTAAAGAAAGACCACATCTCGAAAAGACAGCTTCTGTACCAAAGAAAGCTCTCTTTATTAACCTACCATTCAAGGGCGACCAGATTATGCAGTTGACAGCTCAAAGACTTCAGTCAGCCATCAAACGCACATTCTACGCCACATCTCTTTTTCTCAATTGCCGAACACTTTCGATCCCTGTACCTACGATTAAAAGAGGAAATTCTCTGGACTCTACTTCAAACTGTATCTGCAAGTTCACCTGAAGTTGCTGTGACACCGACATAGGTAGAACCAATAGAATGATCCAATGTAGTCGAAAGAACATGTTCCCAAATGGCTACTAAATCAAATAGAAATTCCCAGGGAATTAATCTGAATGAAAATCCATCATCATCCACTGCAAATCACTTAATAATATCAGGTCATAAAGGCAATATAAGTGACTGTTTCAAAATTATTTCACATAATTTTAACTCAAGGCTGGTTATTGAAGGTGATGGAGGCAATTTGGATTAATCACAGACATCCTAAACTGTCTGTACAGAAAACAATAGACTTCAAACTTCGCCCACAATGGACTACTTGACCTATTTAAATATGAATGGTCATTAGTATGTACTTTGTTTTATATAACTGAGTAATTGTCATGTATTTTATTCATTCCTACTGTGAACCATGTTAGTTGTAAAGAGGTTGTAAGGAAACTACGAAATGATATCATCTCGCGAAATTTGTCTTCTGAATGCCTTATTGAAATTTATCAAACAGACTAACTGTTTTAATGATTTCATTAGGGGAATTTGACACAGTTGGAATTAGGACTCAGTATCGAGAAATGCTTACGAATATAATCGATAGCGCTTCTGAATTTATAAGGAAGGATTCAGACCAAAATATCGACAATGAAACTGTGGTCTTCATGGGATATACTCTACTAATATTTAATGTTTCCTTATTGCAGACCACTGAGTTCATTGAAAAATCCTCAGGATATGGTACATATGTGTTGCAGCTTAATCGCTCCTCTGTACTGAAGTTTCCATTATTATTATTATTGCTCCCTTGGGTTCCTAGTGGAACATAGGGCTTCAACTGCACGTCTCCATTTGCTTCTGTCTTCTGCTGTACTTTTCGCCTCCATCCATGTTAGTCCATACTGTTTCAACTCTTCACACGATCTCCTCCATGTCACCCATGCACCGACGTCCCACACGCCGCTCCCCTTTCGGCCTCGTTCCACTGGAGGGCTGGACGCGCGATGTCACCCAGCGGTCTCCTCAGCGAGTGTCCGATCCATCTCCACTTTCTCCTGCATATTTGTTGGGCGATTGGTCCTTGTTTTGTTTGTTCCCATAATTCCTTGTTGGTGATTCTTTCCGGCCATCTGATCTTCAGTATAGAGCGAAGACAGCTGCTAATAAAGGTCTGCAACAGCCTGTTGGAAATATTCTTTGTGACCCGCCTGCCAAGTTTCTGATCCGTATAGAAGAACTGACTGACTTGATGTTTGTATTGAAAATCCGAATTTTGTTGGTGATGCTGAGTGACAAAGATTTCCAGATTGGTTTCAGGTTGATGAATGTGTTTCTCGCCTTCCTGATTCTCGCTCGATTTGACATCCTCGTCCGCTCCTCCTGTAGTTGAGACAACGTTCCCTAGATAAGTGAATGAAGTAACCTCTTTCAAATCCCTCCCGTTGATGGTGATTGACGTTGGATGTTGTTGCTGTTGTTGGTTGGTTATTTTCATAACCTCCGTCTTGTCTATGTTTACCTGGAGTCCTGTCTTCGCCGGCTGCTTCTTCGACCAGTTTGTCGGTTTTCGCTTGTAAGTCTTCGATTGTGTGACATCAAACATAAGTCGTCCACGCTCCAAATCCAGGTCTTCTAGGTTCTTCACGTCGGTCGGTCCAGGATATTCCTGTCTTCTCGTTTCCCACTCACTGTCTGACGCATAATCCAGTCCACCACAATTAGGAATATCGTTTCTTTAACATTTCCTATAGCACTACATCACACCCTCCTTTCCTTTACTGGTTGAAGATTGGCTGGAAAAGGAATTATCTTGTTCACTACGCGACATTCTCAAATCCTCTGGCAACTGATATCACATTTTACACTAAGTGCAATTTTCAGTTTATTGAAGGAACAATTTTTCAAGTAGGAGGCTTGTCAATTTCATTATACTAGTAACAGTATAGACAAAAGCTGATTATCTGTTCCTGCTCTAATCTGACTAAAGAAAACACGGATATTAATTCAGAACTATTCGAAATGCAATCCACATCTACTCACTGAAGAACGTATAGGGAATTTAAACAGGAAACGGTAGTCGAGATGGAATTACATTTAGGCCTCTCTTGTGTTGATAAGCTACTGAATACAGATGGGACATTGATTTACAGAAAACAATTTTATGAATATTTTCAAATTTGGCACAACTGCTTACCATGGTTAAACCAAGTCCAAAAAATACACTGAAGACTATATACGCTGCTACCTGAAAATAAAAGATGATTACATTAAATATTTTAAGTTGTAATGAACTACTAGTGCTGCCATAATACTTCTTCATCTTTAATGTTCTTATGTATTGCATATTCTTTGCACTGATCCTGATAATAATTTTATTTATTTAATTTTTACTTTTGATTAAAGCCTGATTCCACACCGTATTTTCTATACACTTATGGAATTTTCAGCATGTGATATCGGTAGCCCAAATTTTGCAGGTCGACCATAGATATCAGGTGTGCGTAGGCAGAAGATCGAACCTCGGACCATGTTCATAGTCGGCGAGAATCCTAACCACTGTGCCACCTACGCACTCATTTTTCTTGGTAGATACTGACTGGTTGAAAAATCCCGGAGGCTCATCTGGTCTTGTCTGAGACAAATGATTTGGCAATATCTCCGGTTTCCGGTAGTGAAGTGATACTGTTTGCACCGAGAAAATATCTTTAGACACCAACAAGTTATTCACTACACAGATCGAGCCACAGAAGCCCCCACTTTTAGTGAATAGTTCAAGTAATTTTTTCCCTGAATCACTGCTCTTTTCTTCCAATCGTCGAAGAGCCTTTATGAAAAGGCAACATGGGAACATAGGTACAAGACGCTGGTTCAGTCAGTCAGCTGGAAGAATAAAAGATACTTGAAGAAAATGCAAGCAGTTATTACAATCTTCCGAACATTGAGGTGAACACGAAGTACAAAGTACAATCCTGGCTATCGACGTTAGCCATTCGATATCAAAAGAACACAGCTGAACAACTTCAAAGACTATTTGCTTCATATAATATTAAAGTCTATGTCAAACCCTATAATTCTCTGGAGAAAGCGCTCGTGCATGTCAAAGATTTAGTTCCTAAAATGTCACAAAGTAAATGTGTCTACAAGATAGTGTCCAGAATGTGATGCATGCTATACAGGAGAGAGCAGTTGGCAGTGAACATCAGAGTGAATGAACACAGACTATGCACGAAACGTCCACCTAGAAATGAAGTAGAATTAAAAAGTCTAGAAAAAAGTTCGGCTATAGCAATGCATGTGATAGACAGTGGACATAAGATTGTTTTCGACAATGTCGAAATTCTTGGAAGAGGATTTCATTCATATGAAGAAAGATTGACTTCTGAAGCCTTGCACATTTAACCACATCAAATGCAGTGAATAGGAAAGAAGGGATAGATTTATCACCTATATGGCCAACTCTTATGAAGCAAGACAGATGAAACAACAACAAACACTCTATGAGCCTCCATGACCTTTCGAAACACGTGGTATCATGTTTATCACATATGAATTTGTGTATTTTCCATATGACAAATAACATATGTGCACACACACTCATACAAAACTAATCTTTACAAATCATCTATAGAAGAGTGAACACAGCAACAGTTTGATATGTCATTACAAATATATATGATGACTGCTTACATATTTTTATTGGTAAAAATTTCCATGGACAAATGATTTTCAAATAAACTGACTTCAATTTATGTAAAAATGTTTGACTATTTATTTTGATGATTAATAAAAATCCGAATAAATCTGCTGGAGAACCTGTGGCTTACATTGCGAAACGTTCAGAAAAATCTTGTTTTGATTTTCTTAACATACTGGGATTAATTTAAATAATTTATAATGAATCAATCTGACTCGGTGCTCAAATTATTCCAGGAAGTTCGTAACACCTACGGTCTGGAAACCTATAGTTGACATAACATTGCGAAACCGTCAACAAAACTGGATCACCAGATAGCTACGTGAGAATGACATGAAGTACTCATGTGATTAAGCAATGAACGTTCTTACAATTCATTTGTGATGTTGAGAAGAATCAAAGAAAATGATGAAGTAGTTACTTCAGACATCAGACAGTTTGAAATAACGTCATCGCAATGTACACTAGTTATGAGATATGAGAAATATATTAGTGTCATGCAAATAACTTCTCAGGAAAATTTGTTAAGTCCAAATGCCACTCACTTTATAGCCGGAAAAGTATACAGCGGCTAACAGAATACCACCCAACAGCATTAATACGAATGAAAAAATTATCATAATATCGTCCCCTGTATGACTCAATTGACTCAGTTGGTATCCAACTACCACGGCTATCACAGCTAGAGATATTGCCAAACTCCATGACAACGCTGCCCATAAATGAAGAGATCCTGTGAAGCCAGCGATTCCACAAGACGAAGTTAATACCTGTAAAACGTATAAATTATGCCGAACACAAATATAAGCAGTAGGATGCGCTGATTTACGTTGCATTATTCCTTTCCCTCATAACAAGCTAACAGTCTAGAATTCGTCACGGACCACCATCAGTTAGACAGGTAATTGGTATTCAGAGAGGACTGGACAATTTTGCTAACTGATGAAGCCACCTTGAACAGAGTTCAACGATTCAAGAATTTGCGTTTCTGTTGAATCGTGACACGGAGCCGCCCCCAAACACTTTTCTGAATGCCAGTCCAGCTCGATACCGAAAGCGAAGTTAATCCACATCCTCAAAGAAGCCATAATTGAAAAGTTTTTCTTCTAAAGACAACTTTTGTACTTTTTAAGCAGACGCGACTAAAATGAGAATGACAATCTTCATATTAGAGAAATATATAGTTTGCATTTGACATTACTCAGGTGTTTTTGCAAATTACTCAGGCATAAAAGAATAAGAAAAGCTCATCTACGGTCAAAAAGTAATCCACAAAGTAGTAGTATGTGAGTAGGCAGTCATCTTCACGCACGAAGTCAAAATAACTTTTCGACAGTTCGACAGTTGAAATGAGCACAGTGTCATAGTTTAACTCTCAAAACATAGGTTGTTCTACTATTCTAACTCATGTCTCGCTCGTGTGAAAATTACCACAGAAATCATAACATTATTCAAGAAATTAGCATCTAGTCTACTGGTACTGACTTCATTCCTTATTACCAACCACTATTGATGAACAAATGATCAAATCACTATTTGAAAGAATCAAATATGTGTACACATATCCAACAGACTGATAAACTCACAGTGAGTAAAAGGAAGGTGTAGTTCACCGGGAATTGTGATTCAACGTTCTGAACAAGAAGCAAAACTGCTGCGAAGACTGCACCAATTAATCTGAAATGAATTTGAATGTTTTATTTGTTGATTAGTCGATCAATATAAAATAAAGGAGGATATTAAACGAGTGACTCCACTTTGATCTGAAATATACAGGGCTTTGCACCACTGTCACTCAAAATGCTGCTATCAAATTATACGTAATCACTACTAATAAAAAGGTGTTGTTCTAGCTGCTGTGCAGCTATACATTGATAAAAGCAGAACGTGATGACAGGAAAGCGATCCGCCCTACTTAGAAATCTCTACTACGCCTGGCGGTATGCAACTCGAAGACTTCATCGTGATTGACTTTGACTGTGGACGCTGCTGGTGGTCCGAATCTATCATTGGAAACGTGGTTATATTCACTTGTTTAACACACCCACATGCATTACTGGAACAAATGGTAACTCCATGGAAATTAGTCTGCAAATTACCACACATTACAGATAGGATAAGACAAGATGAAGATAACATAAAAAAGACAAGATAAGACAAGAATCCCGGTGGGTGCGTATTGATGAAGAGTCCCAAACTAGGACGAAACAGTTATCCAGTACTCCCAGGATTTCCAAGAGTTCTCCAACTAATGTCAGCTCATGAAGAAATCCTGAAACCAACCAAGTCCCTACAAACCAACACTTAAAAATGGAGTGAAACTAGAATGTCAGGAATCCGTATAAAGTTAGTGACAGTCTTGGCAACGCTCAATGATATGAAAGCCATTTTAGTTTTCAACATTTAGCACATGTCTAAACATTTTGAACTGGATATAAGTTGTCTGGATGTCGGTATTAAACGCCAGTGTTATTTAGGCATAATCAAAATGACTTATCCATATGAAAAGCAATTCATAATTACTGGAATCTAAATTGTCTGAAGAGGGTTGACGGAGTCAGACAGAATTTGACATCTTTGCAACGCAACCACACTTGAAGATACAAAATCAATGTTAATATGATAAAAAGTTTCACCATGTAAACACCTACCTTTTTTCATAATTCACATTCCTATCTTGACCAAATATCTGCACATCGTTTTCCATAATAACCAATTTATCCATTTGACAACGTTAAGTAACTTACGGTTTATAAGGTGAGATTTTGTAAATTCGCATTTCGTTTTACTTTGATAAACCTATCAGCAACATAAATTTCTTCAATGTCAGTAGAAACAATATCGTTCTGTTTTCCTACCTAACACAGTTCGACTAACCCAACTCATGGAACGTGAACTGACGAATGATACTGAGTCAACTAATCAGTAAAACAAGTGGATTTTTAATCATATGACGATTATTAACAGGATAAATATGAAAACACATTAAACAGGCTAGTTTTCTCAGAAGTCAATTCAAAATACATCTCAAATATTCTAAGGAGACTCATTTTCTAGGTTTATCCACTTTCTATTTATATTTTTCAGGATGACAGGAACTGATTTCATTCTGTGGCTTGTGTGTCAGTCTTATTCCACTCACCAATCTTACCGGGAGGCACTTGATTGAATCAGTTCAGGTCCCATCAACGGTTAATCAAAATCACTAGAATAACTCACCTGAAGATATGCAAGACGTATATCTGAAACGCAGTTGTATGGCAAGTACGAAAAGAAGTGAAGGTATGACTCACCTTTGCGAAATTGATAGATTAGTGTCGGTTGTATAATTCGGAATAACCTCCACAACTGATTTCTGATGTTTCGTTTCGTATATTCTTAATAGCGGTAGGTAGACCACACTTATACTTCTCTATCAGGATGGCTTCACTAATATGATCAATAACACCGAATCCTCGTAACACTTGTCGCACAGTATTCATCTTCCCTGACGCTATATCTTGGCTATGGTAGAACTTTCCCACAGCTAACACCAAGCAACTTCCTTCTCTTCACCCAACAATCTCACTTTAGTATTTAAAATCTCATAACTGCAGATAAATCAACGATTGACAGAGACACTTTCGGCTATAAAAACAGCAAATTCAGTGTGCGACTGTGCACACCTAAATGCACATATATCAAATGCTTTCAAACGCCACTGGCTGCACACACAAGCACCATACCAACATCTGTGGCTCCATGCTTTCAACCTATTGATCTGAACGACATTCGAAAGGGAGATTCGGTTGAAGTTAGCACTTTAGCCTTCCCAATGGAACTATAGTAATGGTAGATCTCGTTATACAACTACCAATATACACACATATTCGCCGAGGTGATTCTTTATCTTGGTCATATTATGTAAAACAAACCAAATATCACTATGAAATTAAAAGCAACCGATTGCCTCATTTTTCCAAAAGAATGGAAAAGCATTTAAATATATATATATGTACATATAATGAAATTGTTTGGTAACACGCACGTAGCAAGAGAATGACACTAAATTACATGTTTAACGTCTTTCTACTGAAACATGTTTTAACCACAACTATGTTAACTCACACGAAAGCAAGTGACATATACCATGTTGAAAACAAATTTTGAAGTATATTTCTAAAACCCAATTGTAAGCAGAAAGTGTAATTTTGCAGTCTTACATGTTCGCTACCAACAAAGTCGCAGTCATCGTGATCACAACCATGGAGCTTGTAAAAAAGACATACTTCATTGGATTATTGTTTTGATCTAAAATATGAAGTTACGCATTCCTACCTGTACAAGACATACTCTTCCAGGCGTCTGTCCAGAGACTGTATTCTAGAAACAAGGAGTTTGTGAAAACTCATACCTACCGGTAATATTTCGCCCGTGCCAGATTTCATACTAATTACAAGGAAGAACACTTGATAAAAGAATAAAACTTGTGCACTGTGGTAGTGTGTAATTCCATTATGGGTGAATTTTGCTTTGATAAAGTCTCACAGTGTTACACAGTGATGTTTACTGATGACGTTTTGAGCACAATTTATTGCTCATAATCATATCAAAGTCGCTTTGATATGATTATGAGCAATAAATTGTGCTCGAAACGTCATCAGTAAACATCACTGTGTAACACTGTGAGACTTTATCAAAACAGGAAGAACACTTGGTTTAATTGTCAATTAGATCTCAGAATTGTTGCAATAGACAGTCAACGTGTTGACTTACATGATGTCTGATCTGATATACATGCGCTTTGAAATGTCGGAATTTGTTGGACTATTGATGTCTGAAATGTAGTTACGTCATGTGTACTTCTTCAGTCAAGTTACTTAGAGTCAATGAGGTTAATCAACATAACTTGAAAATATGCAGAGATATGTAAGTGTCCTAGAGCTTGTGTAGATGCATGAACGCTACAGAATGGATGCTTCTGAAGCCCGTAACAATTCTGGCCATTGTCAAATCCACGTGAGCAGGATTAATGTGATAGTGTTCAAACAATTACAGAGGTTAAAAATAGAACCAGTGTTACAAATTATATAACCTTATGAGGCATCGATGGTTCTGTGTTTCACATGTCTGTTGTCTTTTGAAATATGAAGTCTACACTGTCTTGAACTTGATTTTAGAACTTATACTTGAGTGCCTCAATACCTTAAACATAATATATTTAACTTTAGAACTTACACGATTTCGTCTACATTTATTGAATTCATAGTTAATAACTGCTTTTTTTATATACTGTATTGCCTGTGTTGATACTACGAATGATACATTGAAATAAGTTTCAGTGTACTTTAGACCGTTTTCAGCACACTTTAATACAAAATTATATGAACCTTCGAGTGTGTAAACAATAGATAACGATTTAGTTGCTATACAAAAGGTGTTTTCAAGGATGATTGAATCGATACGAAGGCTATCAAAGTTCCAACTCTGAATAATGTATCGTTTGGATGAAAATATCATATATATGCGTCGGTGATACACCCGTGAAATGCTCGCAGACCATGCACATGTGATCTGATTTCAATTCTCAAGCGTATTTAGGAATAAGTAAACCCACAAGCGCATAATGAAGTTAACTTCAAGTAGGAATTTTGTCAATGGACTGTCAAAGACAAAGTAATATCTCTTCAAATGAAAACAGACTGTTTTATTTGAATTAAGATTCTTCAAAACACAGTTTATTCTGATATCAGTGTGACACGATTCGAAGGCTAACAAAATCTGAATCCATTGAGAAATCAATTTTCTGATTTTCAAAATGGTACCAAAGATTTAACTTTTTTCAGTCAGTAATACAAAGCAAAGTGAAAAACCGTTCGAAAGCTCATGAGAGATAACAAAATTCAAAGTTATTGGATTCTGAAATTCTACTCGCTAAGTCGTGGTTAAAATGGTCGACGTAATGCTAGAAATGAAGCGATGTACATAGTCTTCTCTTGAACCGAAAGGTGAATATCCGAGGTTATGTATCGACGTCCCTCTTTTCATCGTGAATCTTTTCTCTTATATTATATCCGTCACAAATTGACGGCCAAATACTCCTAAAATACTGGACACTCAACGTCGCTACAGTTAGAAACACAGAGAATTCCGAAATATGATGGAAAAGATCTGTAGTACAGGTGGATAATTTCTACGTAATTGCGTTCTCTGAGCTGGAGGGTTTATTTCCGAAGATTCCAGTGCCCCGCTAGGCGACATCTTGCAAATCACCAGGTGGGATGACTTTTAAACTCGTGGAGAAATCTGAAAGCTCATTTCATAAAACTGAAATGGATGGCCTAATCAAGGCGGTGAGCGTAGACGTTAAGTGTATATTTTTGAGTCGTTAGAAAATAATGCCAGTGTATTTCGCCTCTGCATTGAAACGTAACTATACTTAGCAAAGAATTCAAAATATCAATCAGATACTGATAAAATATGTACTAGAAAGATGTATGACGTAGTTTATGGTGTAAGCAAGACGGGGTGACTAGTCGAAAGTTAGTAAAGGAGGGGGAATAAGTTGGTATGACGTAATAAGTGTTAGATAATGCATAATCAATAAGCACGTGTATAATGGACGGGAACTAGTGGATAGGCGATAAAGTGTTTTTACATTAAACCTCTATGAGAAACAAATGTTATTAATAAGCAGTAATGGAGTGGTAATAAAATATGGATTATGAGAATAATAATTATACAAAAATAAAAGTAGTTTGAACATTGATAATAATAGTATGGTAACATAATAAAACAGAGAACAAGCAAGATTATAGAAAGAAATTTGCTCTGGTCACGGTAGGGCGAGAGAATGTTTATAGGGGTCCGGTTTCAGATCTCGAATAGCTTATGCTTTATCTATCTACATATGGCGCATGCGAAGTCCCTTTTTACGATATCGAGGATCTCTGTGTAACACTGTGAATCATTCATGTTGGGCTGCTCGATGTCCCGACATGATAAGGTGTTCAAGGATACAGCAGCTGCTATTCTCTTTTTTCTTCTCTGGTTTACCAAGCTTGACACTATTCCAGAAGACGTTTGTGGACTTGAAGTTGCGTACGGCCGATATACTTCGCTCCACACGAGCAAGTGAAATGATAAATACACAGGTGCAGTGGCAAATAGAGATATCTTATCCCTAGCGTTGTTAGACTGGATTAACTGTCTGCTGGAGAATGTGATATCTAAGGCAGGCGCTCGAAATGTCTTCTTCATACATTTAAAAATACACTTTTGAGTATACCGCTGCGATTTCACATTTGAACTCCAGGTTCGTGAAGAGAGTTTTCTTAGGAACTGTTGTGATTTTTGGCAACAAAGGTTTCTCCTTCATGTTTTTGTTTATGATTCTTGGTGTTTACCCATTTCCTAGTAAGCTTTCACGTATTGAATTTCTTTCTTTCTCTTTCATGTCTTCCGAACGTATATTAAGTAAGTATCGGGTTTCGCTTACGGATCAGTGGGACGAAGCTCTGGAATTTGATAAGCTGTCTCGTCCATGTTGGATTCCGATACATCGATCTTCGGATCGTACAATCTTGTCTTCTGGTAAGTAGTAAGTCGAAGAACAGAAATCCTATGTTCGGTTTAATTCCCAGGGTGGATTTTATTGATGAGTGTGCTGCAATGATGGTTTTGATGAGGTACATTAAATTAGGTTTTTCATGACAAATTATGAACGTATGGACTCCGTATCTCCTGTATGATTGCACTTGAATTATCCTAGGATCAAGGATGTTGTTTTTGACACTTGCTTTGAAGCAGTCGGCTGGGAGTGGACAGAGAGAAGACCCCGTGCCTGCACCACCTTTATGTAAACAGTATTGTTCATTGAATTTGAACTGGATATTAAACGTACATCTGAGATGTAGTTCCTTCAGGGAGTTTATATAAAGTGCAACTTCTAGGTTGTTGGCTTTGATGTAGATACAAATGAAGTATATTGTATTCACAAACCTTTCATTAATTACAATACCTCTGTTCAGAATAAGGTCCTCATAAATTTTAATTTTCCAGTTTTGTAACTTATAATCCCATTCGGTATATGAGGAAAATTAATTGTTTATTTTCTTGAAAAAGTTTTAATTAAACAATTCACGAACACATTGAATTGATTAGTGTATACTTCATATTGACCAACATTGTATCGCATGTTATGCTCTATATTGCTGTACCACTTGAAGATCCTACATAAACAGAATATATATTATGCAAACAATTACGGTGAGTATTCCGTGTATTGTGTAAACATGCTGTCCAGAATAAATCTATCAGCTTACTTAAAGAATTTTTTCGGCGATAATCTCACATTCTTCTGATAGTAAACGTCCCCTGAGCATTTTTCTTTCGGACGATTAATATTTATTTGAGAGCATGTATATGGAACTGTTTGACAAATGTATTGCCCTGGGTTCAACCAAATTTGGAGTTTACCTGCTTTCTTTCATAATTCATTTTCTAATGGAAGATTTTCGGAAAGAAATCGTAAGCACTAAAGCCTTATACCAAACGACAGAAATGCGACAACTCGCAGTGAACTGAAGTAAACCTGGATGAAAGTATACCATGCAGTATGAACCCGTCGGTGGCACAGTGGTTAGGACTGTCGCCGACCATGCATATGGTCCGGAGTTCGAGCCCACGCCGGCGCACACCTGATATCTATGGTCGGCCTGCAAAATTTGGGCTACCGATATCCATGCTGAAAATTCCATACTTGTACCGAAAATACTGTGTGGAATCAAGCTGTAAATAAAAAATAAAAAAATAAATGCAGTTTGAACCCGTTGAAGCAGACCCACAGTTAACTTAATACATTCAAAAAGATATAAAGCGTATGCTCATGATGCGTGTTTTTTGTCACGTTCATTTACAAATGATGATAACTGGCACGTGAATTTCGAGAATCACGTAGAAATGAAATTAGTGCTATATAGTACTTATCCTCTCATGGAAGCGGAGTATCTCACAAATGGATATGAATGCTATGACGTTAACATTTCAAATAAATCCTAGCATACTACTGACTAACACTAGTAGTTAGCAACTGGTGATGAAAATCAATGCTACCTTCTAGACACGTCAAAATGGCTTAAATGCTAGACAGTCACCTCAAATGTTTTATGTCTAAATGAATTCGCGATGACCGTTATCTATTTAGGACATCTAGAGATTCTTTCGCGTCATGCATTATGTATTATCCAGCGAGTTGTTTTAACCCTTAAGAACTTCCAAAAATTTTAGAATACTCCTAAATCACATTTTATAAATAAGTTTAGAAGACGAGCACAGACCGATTTAATTTCCTGTCTCTATAATATGTTTCGCAGGAGGACAGCTAGATGCTCCGTTCTCTCTAATAATGAGTTCTGATGATTCATAGCTTTTGAAGCCCTTACTTGTAGAGTTCGATGAGTCCCACCTATGTATTTTCGGCTAAACGTACACTTGAACTGTAATGGAGTGTTACATCCCTTTTTGAATGTTCCCAGTCCTTAGATGCATAGGTGGGTATCAC